TAGCTGTAAAGCACCCTCCTTCAAGGTCTGAAAGTGTGAATGGAGCCGCGAATCTCCAGAGTCTTACAAGATGGTCTCGACGACGACCGTAGCCTATGGGTCTTCCTAAGAGCTTGAGCACCACCGCAAATCTCATGCTATCTTCCAACAGTTTGTGCATCCTTGGTGAGAAAGTTACAGAAGGAAAGATGCATCCTTTCCAAAAACGACGTCTCCATCTTCGAGCTGAATGTCTTCTTCCTCAGTTGAGGATTTGTCTTTCCTAAGTAGCTTGTCTCGGAACGAAATGGGTGCTGAGGGTCCTGTAGCATTCGGGTCATGATTCAGGGGAGGTGGATCTCAGTGGATTCCTCATCCATGCATGTTTCCTCTCTACCTAGTTGTGGTGGGTCCTCTATGGCAATTTCAGCGTCATCTGTTTCGTGTGGGGACTCTCTTATCTTGACTTTTTTGGTAGATCGGTTATCGTCAGGGTGGGGCGGAGCTTCGTCTTTCTTAGGGAGCTAGAGAGAAAGAGATCACTCCATCTTCGTTGGCTATATTAATGACTATTTGACCATAAGGTTTTCTTTGAACAAATCCAAGTCGGCGGCGGGGGATAACCGTGATAGCGAGCGAGACGTAGAGTAGCCATTCTCAATTAAATATACTGTTGCATACAATATTTAAGAAAAAATCTTTTTTTTTTATTTCAAAATTTTAAATCAGTTTTGCTCACTATACTTTAATAACAATTAACTTCATTTAAAAAATAAATAACAACAAATTTTTATAGTAACTCCTAATTTAGGATTTTAAAATTTTAGAGATATTTTTTTTAATTTTTGCTTTAAAAAATTAGATGAATGATTAATGACATAATAACTAATTAAAAAATAAGGTTCAACAAAAAATAGACTTACTCCCTTTGATTTACTACTGCTAATCCTTTATATAAGAACTAGTTGAGATATAGATTTTTCTCAAAATATCCCGATTGATTGTAAAAAATTCCCACCAAAAAATAATTCTAATCATCCAATACACATGATTGAAGCGGATAGTTTAAAGAGCCTAATGTACATTTGTCACTGTAGTGCAACATAGGAAGTCTAGAAAGAAATTATGATCTAAAATATAAAAAGTTGTCATGATAATTAATTATATTTTCCCACTTATGTCTCTATTGATTACTAGAGAGATGAGAGAGATAATAAATAAAAGTGTGCTAAAAAATACTTTGTTACTTTCTAATCACATTCTTTAAAGATAAAATAGAGAGTATATCCAAATCTGTTGAAAATGATCCCGCTCTGGTTAACATCCAAATAGCTCAAGTCATCAAAACGTACTGAAAGACTCGCAGACCAACAATTCTACTAGGCGAACCATCAAATCCAATGCTCTAGTTCTCTAATCACTGGTTGCATGAAGATTTCCCATTCTGTGGTATTTCAAGTGGCTTCTGTGTGGAGAGTTCTGTCACTTTTGTTTTGCTTAAAGTGAACATTGAACAATACATACAAGTGATGTGTGTGTGTTGGGGGGAGGGTCTTTCCACTTCCTTTTTTTTCTATTTCCATGCAGTTTTTATTTCAACTATTAAGATTAAAATTCTAACGGTTCAGATTTCACATTTTAAAAATAATTTTATAAAATATTTTTTATTATTGCTTGGAATTATCCAGATTAAAATTTAATAGTTTAATTTTTTTCTTTATTTTTAAAAATGTTTAACATTTTATTTATAATTGTATAAAATATGAAATTCGAACCCTTAAGATCTTAATCTTATGATTAAGATGAGAAGTGAATGGAAATGGAAGGAAAAGAAAGTGAAAAAACCCGTCTCCCGTATATGCATATATAATAATTAGAGAGACAGACCCAAACCTCAAGGGCATGGGGGAAATTTTTGAGTGAAAGGGAAAATGCGAAATAATATTGTTCTTGTGTAATACGAGTAAAATGGTGACGAAGAGAGGGGGAGCTAAATAAAACTAGTAAAAGACAAAATTTTCCATTGTCTTCACGTTAAAAAATTACATTAACAGAGTTTGGAAAAAAAAAGGAAAAAGAAAAAGAAAAAGGTTCCGTGACCGGATCGATTTAGCGAAGATGAAACAGCAGGGGCTGATTTTAAATGAATGTAAAACGCAGGGACCATAGGATCAGTTTTCTCATCTTGGTGGCCCCGTCACTCGGTCTGTAAACTAGAGGTGTTCAATTTGTCCCGTTCCAGTCGTCTCATCCTGATCCCAGTGAGTTTGAGACGGGACGGGACAGTAACTGGGACGTCCCATCCCGTCCCAGAATTTTTTTTTCTTTTAAAAATTATTTATTAATAATTATTATTAGATTATTTAATTTACTTATTAATAATAACTTTTGTTTTTATGGTGATTTGTAGCTCTTAAATTATAGTATTATCTCAACAAAATATCCTTTCTTAATAAAATAGTTCATAAAGTCATTATATAGTGTTTTTTTTATGGTATTTTTTTTTTACAGTATTATTTTTACACACTTTTTATACTATATAATTGAGTTTTCTACGTAATATTTTTTATCTTTAGAAGCCCAAAAAAATAAATATTAGAACATAAAAAAAATTTATATAAAAAATTATAGTTTTTTTTTTAAAAAAGGGGAAAGCGGGACGTACCGGGACGGAACGAGACATGGGACAAAATCTCTATCCCGTCCCTGTTCACGGGGACCAGACCGGGACGGGCCTGTCCCGGTCCAGTCGTGTCCCATGAACACCTCTGGTAAACAACTTGTTAGTTAAGAACCCGTTTGCTTCACGGAATAAGTAGGAATGTAATAAGATGCAATAACTAGGAATGTAATGTAATGCAAAGAAGGTGTTTGGGAGCAAAGAAAACGCAGTCACGCGTGCCCTCCTTGCTCGTTCTTCAATTTCCCTTCACGCATTCATAGAACCGCAATACGCGGTCTGTCAAGTTCCTTTTATTCTTCTCCTTCTTCGCCAAGTCTCCTGCTTCAACTTGAGCAAATAATGGAGTTTCTATGCCAATCTTGGGTCATATTTCTCAATCAGTTTTTTCATTTGAGTTTTCAGCTATTTAATTTGCACTTTCAATTTCTGGATCGTTGGTCAAAAATAGAGCCAAATTGATTTTTATAAGCAGAGAAAGATGTTTGCCTCTTAATATGTAGCTTCCTGTTGCTCTTTCGATTGCTAAACGTTTTGTCAGTGATAGATTTCATGGTTCTCCGTTTGAGGAGTTGGAGCACGCAACCCAAGTCAAGGCTTCCGTATATATAGAGTGATACCCATGGTGGGGGCGTGAACTCTCAAAATTTAGCCTCTGCCCCTTTTTTTTCCCCTTCCCGGAAATCAGAGCTAGAAGGGTGGAATTTGGCTTGCTCAGAAGGGGCAGAGATCAAATTCTTTTAGAGAGATAGAACACAAGCACGTTTTGCTGTCGGCATTGGGTGTTGGAGTTGGTCTCGGAGCAGGCCTTGGGTTGAGCTCAGGGCTTATTGAAGGGAATCGCGAGTCAGTTGATAAGCTTTATGGCGAACTGATTGAGCAGGAACTTTTGAGGCAGGGGATAGATGGAAAAGAATGCAACGAAACTTTTCAAGACTTCCCTTATTACTTAAGGTGATTTAACGTTTGAGCATTTCATCATCTAGGAATATTCTGTTCAGCTGCACTTTTTTTATTTTTTATTTTTATCTTTTTTTTACGGTTCTGATTGGTGCCTGATGTTGTAATATACTGATGAAAATGGTGTTATGTTCTACTATGAAAGAGTTTGATGTGATTGACTCGAGACTTCTATTCTTAAGTAGCATGACTTTGTAAACACCAGGTTCCTTCTGGTTCAGATTTCAAATCATATATAAATATGAGTTACTCCTCCGGTCCTAATTATAAGACCCAATTGACTTATTTGAGGAGATTAAGGAAGTAAGTTAAGTTGGTTATTTATAATAAATAAGTGTTGTTATTCCTAAAATATCCTTGCTAATTAAGTATATTGGCTAAAACTATCATCATTAGAAGGATTATCTTGGGAAAAAATGCATAAATATAAGAGAGAAAATGGATTGGGTCTTATAATTAGGACCAAATAAAAAGTCAAATTGGGTCTTATAATAAGGACCGGAGGAGTATTATTACTCTCGTGTGTGTGTGTGTGTGTGTGTGTTGTGTGTGTGTGTGTGTGTGTGTGTGTGTGTGTGTGTGTGTGTGTGTGTGTGTGACGTGACAGTGAAAGAACCCGAGAGCTATTGAAAAGTGCCGCGTCTGTTCATTTAAGACAACTTTTCTTCTCCAGACATGCCAGGAACCTTTCACCAGCACACAGGGCAATTCTGCTTCATGGACCTGCAGGTATGTTATGTAGATGTCTTATGTAGTCTCTTGATTATGTTCCTGCACAAGATTGTGTTGGGTTTTCATGTTTGTTTGACTCACGTCGGCGTCATTTTCATTTTTCAGTCTATTTTTTGGGCAGAGTTTTACCTGCAAACGCTTGCCAGGGCTTTAGCTCATCACTTTGAATTGTTTTCGTATTGCTATGTCTTTTTGTTTGAATTGAATAAGCTAATATTCATATCTGATCTGTTTCTCTTTTTACAGATCCAGAAAAAATATGGATTTGCAAGACAAGAACCAGCAAGTCTTTTCTGCTATACATTTGCTCCCCCCACCCCCCAGGGGGGGGGATGCTCCGCATTAAAAACAGAAGATACTTCTCTTTTTACATGAAAATATAAGTATTTTCTTCTTTTTCCTTTCATATTTCAAAAGAATCACATAGTCGCCGACATGTGAGTCGGTTTGTCAGGTGATTTCCCTAACTCTTTTTCTCTGTTTGTAGTCTTCCAAAGTATCCTTATCTGAGGTGGCTTCCGAGAGACTGTCTGGTTTGTTTTGTTCCTTTTCAGCAGTCCTCCCTTCAAATGACAAAACAAAAGGTAGGGAAGGAAGATACAGGCCTTTGTCCCTGAAATTATCATATTTCTTAGCATTAAATTATATTTTATGGAGCGCTTATGATCGATTCAACTATGATTGATCCGGCAATGAGCGGTGCTGTATCTTTGTTCAATATTAATTATCTCTTATAGTGATCATAGTCGTGAACTCATGATCTTGCAATTGTATTATATCACATTAATGTATCTTGATTGACTACGTTTATGCAGGTACTTTTCAAAATCACAGTAATGCTACTAGAAGTCCCATCATTGGTTCAAAGCTTCATGAGACTAGTGCTTCCCAATCTGCGCCAGCAAATTCTAGTACTGGTTGAACACATTTTTATTCTTTCTATTCTCCTGTTTTAGTTCATATGCATATTATCTGTATTCTTTGTAGATATATATACATTGTAAGATAACCATATTAAATTTACCCTAATCTCCAGAACTAATACGCTGCTAAGGTCTGCAAGTTTTGGGTTTACTCATCCTTCTCCACTTTAATTTTAATAACCCTGCATTTAACTCACATGTATACACTGCTCACCTCTTTCCTCTAATTGCTTTAACTAGCAAATCCATCTGTTGTTTAATTATCACATTCTTGCCATTCTTAATCCACTTACAATAATTGATGCCCTGTTTTATCACTTGATCTTACATAAAATTGTGTTTTCTTTGCTTATTGTTTTGAAACTTCATTCTCAGCTCCCTTGAAGCAGAAAAGCAGCTTGTGTGTCGATGAAAAACCCTTTATGCATTTGCTTTATAAGGTGTTTTCATCATCTAACCCAATTCTTTATTTAAATAGAATCGTGGCGCTGGAATACATTCATGGAAGAAGAGAATTTCTCAATAATTAGTTCCAGCCAACTAGCTGATGAATATAATTCTTCCAGGTCTTGATTTCTGTGTCAGAAAAGAACTCCGTCATTTTGTACATCAGGGATGCTGACAAGATTTTTCTCCAATCAGAGCAACTTTATAATTTGTTTCATGAAATGCTAGGGGAACTTCCAGGGCCAGTGCTCATACTTGGTTCCAAGATCTCAGGCAAAACCAAAAGCCCTGGTGAGGGAGGCAAAATTTGTATCTGAATATTATGTAAGACTAGATACATAGCGAAAATGGAACACTTAAAAAAAAATATTTGCTATAAAACTGATTCTATTTCATTATAAAGCTTTGGTTTTTAATAAATTGATAATATGATTAAAGAACCAAAATACAATACTTGCTGGTGAAAGAGTATATACTTGTTTAAAAGTATAATAATAAAGGCCAATAGTCTAATGACCGATATTTCCATCTTCAAAAGCTTGCCATAAAAGGCGAGTGATTACTCTTTGTAATTACTAAGGGTGTGTTTGGATTGGCGGTGGAGAAGTAACTTTTTTTGCAATCTGACTTTTACAGAAGTCAGATTGGATAAAAGTCAGATGGTAAATTGTGATTTATGTTTGGATTGGCTTTTGTAAAAAAATCAGTTTGAGAAATTGAAAGTTGTTTGGATGATTAATAAAAAAGTCAGTTTAGATGCAAAATGATTAAAAAGACATAAATTTTATTAAGTAATATATATTTAATATTAATTGTATGTAATGTGACAATTATAAAGAAAATATTAAAAATAAAATTATTAGAAATAAAGAAATTAATTTATTATTATGAAGAAATTGAAAAAAATACTGAAATACTTAATTGAATATATTTAATGGATATATGTGTGCGTAAAACATTTGCCACTAGCTCTATTCTTTCTCGTTTTTTCAGAGAGGAGATATGTATGTGAAAGAGGGCTAGGAAGGCAAAGAATTTAAAGTGTAATAATAAATGCTCTCCAGTAATTTTCTCTGCCGCACTGATGGTCTTCACCGTCAAAAGTAAGATGATGCAGCTTATGGAAAAAGCTCATTTGAGGCAGAAAAGTCAGATTGCCAAATCGCTGAGTCAAACATCACCATTTCATAGAAGCTAGCTTTTACCGGTTGAAAAGTCAGTTTGGGCTCTCAAACGTTATGCCAAACACACCCTAAAAAGGCGTAAAATCACTAATGGGCTTGTCATATTTTCCGCACATTCATTTTCACAAGATAAATTTTCAAAGGCAGAATATTCCCACCTCCCGTTCCACAAGTAAAATTATCTTTTTATTTTATTTTAATTACAGGTACCTTCTTTTTATTTTGAAAATGTATATAAACTCCTCTTATAGTTAAAATATATGTTACACAAACCTCCCTCTTATATTTAAGATTTTATTTCTATCCATTCAAGCCGTTAGTTGATCGTTAAGTTTAACTTTAAATTATTTTTTTGATCAAAATGTCTCTTTTCAAATTAATAATTATTTAGACATTTATATTTTAAAAAAAATGTTTTTATAAAATTAAAAAATAATTATCTTTAAAATTTCTAATATGTTATAAAATTTATTAATTTTGATCTAGATCATAAAATTTTATTATTTTAATATTTTATCACATTCATTAAAAATTATTTACTTTGATTTATTTTAAATTGTAAAAATATATTTCAAATACATAGTTTTTCTTCATCACAAAATTTAAATGATATAAGTTTAACAGATTTTATAAATTATTTAAATTTAAAATTCAAAATTTTTAAACACATCTTTGTTATGAAAATTGATAAACATATTTAGTTAAGTGTATATATACTTATTAAAAAGATTAGTTAAATTTTTAATCAAATATTTTTTGTTTGCCTTAATTAAATGAAATTGATATAATTGTAAAAATATAATTTAGGAATTTATTAGAATGAAGAGTAAAATAGTAAATAAATTTTATTTTAATATAAATTTCAGTTAGAAATAATATTTTTAGAATCTTTTTAAAATATTCCTAACGGTGTTAACTATATATTTTTAAAATAAAGGAAAGGTATCTGTAATTAATACAAATTAAAAAAATAGTCAAAGTATTTTATTCAATATTAAAACATAACATCCAAACATGAATTTTGAATAATTTCACATATAGTCTAATTTTCTGAGTAAAATCTGACCCATGCATTCTTAGGTCGTAATATACAACATCCGATTCTTAATATAAGAACTAGTTTAACTTTTAATTTGATCTTAAATATAAAATTTCAATCCACTTTGTTTCTCATATTTATCTTTTTTTTCCAAAATAGTCTTTTTAGTAGTTGTACATATTAAAAATTCAATCAAATAGTAGTTTTAACTCATACATTATTAGCAAATGAATTTTAGTAAAGACAATAGTTAATTATTACAAATGACTAACTTAACAAACCTCCTTAATTTATTCAAATTAATCAACTAGCTCTTATATTAAAAACTAATAATAGTAATAAATAAATAGGATTATTTTCTCATATCACTTACTTAATATATTGATGGTTAAAGTATACATTTAGTATTTTATATTTGCATTAAATTTCATTTTAGCACCATAAATTTATAAAGTATATTTTTAGTCCTTCAATTTAAACATTGATAATTCTATCTGATGGCAAATGCTGAATCATCAAACTTAATTGATGAATGGGTAATTAAATACTGACAAAGCATCACAAACATAGAGTTGTCTTCATTTTAAATTATTTCTTTTACATGGCTCAAAATATAAAAATATTATATTAAAAAGATTAACATACAAGCATGTTTTTTTAGGGTTGTTTAGATAAAAACAAAACCATAACTTTAAAAATACTTTTATAATATACAAAATAAATATGTGAAGAAATTTGTCACGATTTGTGAAAAAATAGTTTTAAAAAACACTTTTGGTACCCAAAATTGCACAAGCATTGCTTAAGTTAGATGAGTTAGTGTTTCAGAGAGACTAAATATGCTTTTTATAAATTTAAAGGATTAAAATCTTTTTTTTTTTTAATTTTTCCCCAGAATGTCGTGGAAATTGGTAAATAAGTGGCGCGTATGGAACTCAATTCACATATGCAGGAGATCGAATTTGAAGTGACTCTTGCTGTTGCCATAATCCGCCAACTATTTCAAAATATACTCACCAGGGAGGATCGTCAATATTGGGGGAAGGGGGAAGAAATAGGACCATACCTCAATCTGATTTGAGGAGAGCATCTTACTCAAAATCCTTCAGCAAAGAGCCAATCACTTGAAATCCAGAATCAAATATCATCAACGAGCCAATCCAAACTATGAATCTGAACAAGAAAAAATTACAATCATATTGTGGATATTATCAGCTAAATATCCTCCATGTAAGTATAACCATGCCACTACCATCAAGAAATATGAATTCAGTAATACGAAACATGCAGAGGAGTATTATCAACCATCTGAACACCTTTTTCTACAATTTCTTAGCACCAAATTTTCAGCAGCTTGGACAAATAACCTGCTGGGCAACAACAAGAAGAATTCACTTAGGGTACGGAAGGTAAAGTGGATCCACAGAGTTCAATTTCTATTCAAAATTTAGCTTATAGAGAAACACTTGCAAGGAGGATGAAAGGCGATTGATATGAGAAACGCAGGTAACCTCTTCAAATCTCTTATTCATCGCTCAATCGCTCCCAGCTCTGAAATCTTTTCTCCGGTTCCTCCTAAGAATCACGTTTATTATAGATTATTAGATGCGAAATGGAAAATGATGAACCGATTTCGATCCACACCTTAATTTTCCACTTTGGCGTCAAGAAGCAGAGCGATAAAGCGAGAAAAGGAGGAGGCATGATGGCTGAAGAAAAATTGAGGAAGCTATCGGCTAACCTATCTCTTCCCTTGTCTTCCATTATGAACATCGGCTGAAAACAGAAGCCTGGCTGGATGCACAGTTGAAACAGTGATACAGAGACGCATAAAAATGATGATGGGGGAGGGTTCAATCAAGCACATGGTGATGTAGAATAGATGACTCAATATGACTTCTCATCGGGAAGAGAAGTTCGTAACTCCTATCGATAGAGAGAGCAAAAGAGGTCGAGAAAGGAGAGCGGAAGAGAGAAGAAAAGCCAGAGAGAGTTTGATTGGAAAAGCCACACAACTGTTATGTTTCAGCTCAATTTATAGTATACGCCTGGCATATGTTTGATAAAATGCTTGAGTAGCAGTCAAGTTTGGACAGACATTGTGTCAAATAATTTTGCTTCCCCATATCTCTTTAGTACTTTTGAGTGCTTAATTGGCAAATGCATCCCATTATTTTGTTGCTGAGTATCTGACTAAATACGATTGTTCCTGGTCTTGAACAGTAAGTTCAATTTGCTAGAAGAGCTTAACTAAACGCATAAATAAGAGCATAAATACTTATCATGCGAATTGGGCCATTAAAATAATGTTTCTAGGCTGGTTCCTTTGCTGGTCTAATATGCTTCTTGCAGTATGGCCAACGCTCAAGAAGGGAAGTGAATTAGGTGCCTTATAAAACTTTATTAAAACCTTTTTCCCAATCGAAAACAATGCAACGTTGACAAGTCGGGAGAATGAAGCAATATAGAAAATGAGAACTGAAATGAATTAGCAATGAGTTAAAAGAGAGCAGAGATAAAAATATTTATATTGGTTCACCCTAAACCACTTGGCATATACCCAATTGTCAAGTAAACGCTAGGGGATTTTTACTATTTGCAAGATTTTCATAAATGGGCACTTGCAGCTACAATATGACACCAGATTGATTTACTCTTGATATCCTTCTCAACCCTTGTAGATTGTTATCTCCAACAATTTCAGTCAAGGATACATCAGCTTGAGCATTTCTCACAAGAAAAAGAGAATTGAATGCTTATAAAACTCTCAAAAGAGTATATAATACAGTCGAAGCACTGAATAGAACAAAGAGAACCTCTAATACTAAAAATAAATGCAACAAATGAATGCTAAGAAGTTTTTCACTTAATTATTGAGTATAAACTAGGGAGAAACAATCAAGCCGAAGGTGCTTTGTCTTGTTGGCTCTATCTTGTATTTAGAATTCATTTGTGGATATGGTATATGACCTTTCCGCTGTATTAAAAAACAAAATGGCATATGATCAAATGTTCCGCTTCACTAATTTAAGAGTTGAATGACAAGATTAATCTTCATCTCACTGTTATATTGCATTATCAACTCCAATGTGAT